AAAAAAAACAAATGTGTTCATATCTCATCACAGTTAATATCTATTCTCTTTTTCTTAACACATTAATGTCCAACAGGTAAATTTAGTACAATAAGGAAAAATGCCACAGAACTTGTTCTGACTGGTCTAAAGTGATCAAATTTGGCAAGGTTATACTTTGAATGAATATCTAACTGAAGCCATTTAAATGTTTTCGAACTTTTAAAGTTTTATAATTTTATTCACAATCAAATATGGATTTTCCATTGTTTTGTTAAAAGCAAGCAGCTCCATAAGTGATAAAAACTGATTTTAGTCATATGGTTTGATGGTTTTGAAAAATTTCTTTAGATTTGCACACAGGCAAGCTCAAGGAACATATGGGTATACATATTTTGCCCTTAGACTCTAAAAGTGCCCCCCCTGATTGGCGTGTTTAATAAAAATGTTTTATACGGGCTCCGCCATTGGCCCTTTTCCCATTTTCGAGTTTGGGACAGAGGTAAATAAAAGCAGTGTAAACGGTGTAGCCAAGATACACAAGCAAAACGGAAAAGCATAGCAAGTGTTACTGTCGCATACCCTTTTGCTCAAACAGTAAAAGAAAATATCTAAATGTGAGTTTTCACAATCTTACATTTACAGGAGAACTGATGACAGACAGTAGGAGAGAAGAAGTGCCAAATTTACCATCTGTTGTGGTAAATTAACACCAGTCACTTGGCAATTTTACATTTAGCTGATAAATTTGCTTCACTGTGAGACATTGTGGCCGCTAACTCGGTCAAAACATAAGGAAAAAAACCCAGCTCTATGATAATGCTAATATCTGCTAGCACTCCTATGGTTTCTAATAGTATCTTAGCGCTAAGGTAACTGTGACCCATATTGTTTTTTCGGCCTTTCTGGATTAAGTGCAGACATTATAAAATACTTTTCTTTTGTTTTATTTGAAGCGTGTAACAGACATTAGCATATATTTTACCAGTGGAGAACCCTCAGGGCCTTCTAGGCCTTCAGAGAAGTCCTAGTAACGTATTTCTAGAATCTCACCAGGGGAGGGGTGCTAGCAGAAATTAGCATAATTAGCATAAGCCAAACTTTAATAGTCACTGTATGGCACTGTCTTGTACCATGTAGCAGTTTTACAGAGTCTCTTTTAGTAAAGACAGAGCTGTCACTGCTAGTTTCCATTTGTAACAACTGAGAGCAATCCGCTTAGACTACAGCTCATATTTACAGTCCAAAAGTGACTTGGGCCCAATCCCATTTCTTCTTTTTACCCTTACCCCTTGTTTTCGAGTGTCACCCTAACCCCTTGGAACTGAGTTACAAGGGGTAGTGGTTGAAATCTTGCCCTACGAAATGGGACAACCCTCAAATTAAAAACAAACAAAAAAAAAAAACCTGCTTCATTAACAGGTTACTAGTGGTGCTCTGTAGGCGATCCGGCCCGTCTTCAGTGTTAGCTGATAGCTGCGTTCAAGAGATTGGAGGTTTGTACATACCAGATGTTAAATAGTAAATACAACTTCTCACCATTTGGGTGCTTGTTGAAAGACACACCCACCATATGAAAAAAGAAAGCATGGAGGTCTGGAGAACATGCTTCCTGCTTTTTTTTTACAGTATTAAAAAACAGAAGTTTTCACATTCACTACCAAGTTTACCATTTTTTGCCAGCAGAAGGGGCGAAAAGTTGTGTTATACGTCACATCTGGCAAATTTGCGTATCAACTGGAATCCCGAGTTTCCCACTGATCACGACCTCATTGGCTGTTCAAGTGCAATTCCCAATTTCTGATACCACTTGAAGGCAGCATAAATCTAACGTGTAAGGCCTTCTGTTCAGCTCCTGAAGGCCAAAGGCAGGGGTCAGCAACATGCACATGCAGCTCTTTTACTGCCCTGTTGCAGCTTCACAGCAGAATTAAATTTTAGATAAAAATAAAATAATCCTCCTTTAGAGTAAAATAAAGCTCTGCTGATCATTTTAACACAGTTTTGACAATAAATGTTCTTAACCCTAGAGTTAATGTATAACTGCTAATTCACCATTTAACCCTGAAGGTTAAAGACTTATTGTTTAATCTGAAACAAGAAACTGTCAACCCATAAAAAGTCAGAATTCAGCTTCTCATTTGCGGCTTCTTGTTTAAATTTTCCCGTTCCACCTTAATCGGTGCAGCAGTTGCATTCTGGCACCTCTGAATTTAGAATCTGAATTTAGCCTTGTAAAAAGTAAAAAGAAACTTTCCACTTTTTGGAAAAGGTTTCCTGCCAGAGATGTGAGAAAAGTGGCTATAGCTGAACTAAAGCTTAAAGCAGAGCACACTAAGACATATTTTCAGCCAAGATGGTAAAACGTTACTTCGATAAAATGGGCATAAAACTTGTGGCTCCCAAGGTGGTTTGATTTTTGTTGAAAGGACAAAATGGTTCTACTTGGGTTGTCGACCGCTGGCCTAAGGGAAGGGCTCACTTAGCTGTATCTACCTAGAAACCACAGAAAAATAAAACCCTGATTTCGTTATTTTAATTTGGTGTTTAAAGATTTTAACCCTTTGTTTTCCAATTAAACAATGTAACAATTTCTAACTTAACAATGAAAAAAGAGTATTACCACAATGGTTGTAGATTTTAAATACAAACTTGATCATTACTTTTAATAATAATGAACTAAAAATTACAGATATTTTTTTGTTTCACAGAAATTATTAGGCCATCTCTGAAAACTGCAAACTACAAACATCCCCCCGCATGAAACACAGGTGGTGATAACATACACAGTACTGTTACTAACTGTGTATATTCCAGTGAACTACTGTTATGTGCTGTGTGGTATGTGTTACTGTTGTGATGTGCCTTTGTCTTGTATGTTTCCTCTGTCCTATCAGAGGTTGATTGAAGTTCATTAAATAATAATACACTGATGGAAAATGACTGACTCTTTACTGATACCCATCCTGCAGTCAATAAAATTCTTTGTTGTGTTCCTTATCTCCTGATTACTGGTGTATGAGGTAGTGATCATTGTTCCCAGTGGAAATCACACAGAACTTCTTTCCAGAACATCTTTTCTGTGGTGTTCTGCTGCCATCTAGAGATGCGAAGTTGATAACGACCTCACTTTGTGTATTTTTCGTGCTGATAAAGGGATTAATGCTTATGAGGGCAGACTTATCTTATTATTGTAACCAAAAGGGGAAAAATTATAATTATATATTGGAGATGGAACAATACCACTTTTTCTTTAGTGATTTTGATACTTAAGCCTTGAGCATCAGCCGATACCAATGCAGATCTGATATATTTCTTTAAGAACCACCAAGATTTGAATTGAACACATTTTCATGCACAATTGCTGAACATATTAGGGGGGAAAATAAAATGTAAAATTTGGTCTTTGCAAAAGTTATGGCACATACTTTTTTGCAATGGGTTAACAAATGAAAAGTAAATAAAAACTGTGCACTAAAATTTGAAAAAAAGTCATATTTAACGTGTCCTCTGTAGAGGATGTGTTAGCTTACTTTCACCTGGAAAATCAACAAACATGTCATCTGGCCAGGGGTGAAAATAACTACAAAACAAATCATATGAACCAAAGAGGATATAAATTAGGATAAGCAAAGTTATGCTCCTAACTGCTCCTAAATAAGACATCATGCTGGTAGAAATTTTATACTTCAATCTCTACCAGCACAAAGTCCTATTTAGGAGCAGTCATGCAAACTCTGTTCTTGTGTATGGAGTTTTGGGTGACATAAACTCACTCACATCTAAGCCGCTTATTCTCCTGGATTTCGGGGGTGCAGGTCGCCAGTCCATCACAGGGCAGAGACACACACTTATGTATTCACACCTGGCCTGACTGTGGGAGGGAACCCAGGCCCTTCTTGCTGTGAGACAACAGCACCACCCAACTCATGAACAGTGAATCTATCAAGAGAAATTCCAAACATTTTTCAACATTTTAGAACACTAATAATAACTTTTCACGTAAAGATAAACCTTTGCACACAGCTTTATTGTTGCTGTTTTACATGGTGTACAAGTCCCACCATATCAAGATTACTGCAAACCATAACTGAATACAGACTTCATTTGTAGGCTGTCTGTATAATTCTATCATTGAGATGTAAACTAAGTGATTTGGTGTGAAACAGTTAGTTGTAGAGAAACTTACAGACTTAAGATTCCTTTACAGTGGTGATGAGAGGTCAAGATGTCGACAACACAAATGTAGCCATTTTATTTATTATCCAAAACCACCAATGAACCTACTTGTGTTTTCAAAGTTTCTATGTAATGTAATGTTATGATAAAAGTGTTAAATCTGAAAATCTGTTTTCTTTGGGTCTTATCTTTCTTTAGAACACCCTCTGCCATTAATAAACGGATGAAACCTTACCTTACACTTTCTGTGAGGGAGCCTTTAGAGGCAATAAGCTCTTCAGACGTCTGGTTCCTATCACCACCACTGTGAACAGTTCTCATTTAACATGTTGGAAAAAATAAAACAAAAAGTGGTCCGTGCAAAAGTTATGGCACACGCTTCATTTCTTCAGTATGTTAAACTTTAAAATTTGCTAAAAAATGGTCGTGTGTTCTCTGTAGAGGACCTGTGGGCATTTATTTTCACTTAGAAAATCAGCAAAGCATGTAATTTGACCGCTGTCAGCTGCTTCCATTAGCAAAATGAACAAGGCTAATGTAGTTAGCGTCTTTGTCCAGTGTTTACTCACCTGTTTGCTATTCACAGTAGCCTCTCTGGACGGTTTACACATGAACCATTTACGTCAATTATGCAGGGATTTTGAAAGTCGTAGGGCTACCCCTTTGAGAGAAAGGGGCAGTTTAGTTGTTTTATAGTTAGTTAAGTATGTATTTATTGTTTTTTTTTCTAATTCACAGTCAGTCACATCCATACAGGTCGACCCTGCTCTTAGCGCAGTACCACTGTATTCCCTCATGACGTCAGCAGCGCAGCGTGCGCAGGCGCAGTGAGAGCAGCTGGTGAGTGACGGTTGAGGATGAGAGAGAGAGAGAGGCAGTGAGAGAGAGAGGATGGATTAAAACATTCATGGTTTAATAGCCACGACGGTAAGACACGTTGACTGTTAATATCCATATCCCATATTTCAGTTACATTCTGTAAATGTAGAGGGGGGCAGTGTTTTTGTGTTTTTGTAGGCCGAAGTACGGGGGTAAACTGTGCTGAGGGAGAAGCTGGGTTGTTTGTACTGGTTTTGCTGCGGTAGGATGTGGATGTGGAATCCGGAGGGAGGGATTCCACATCGCTTTTACCTCAGATTAGCTCGGTTTTATTAAGAGTCTGGGTGATGGAGGGAGAAGTGGTCTCTAATCCCCTGACTGCTGAACAGGTTAGTGGAAGCTGGGCTGGGTTTTAAAGGATGTAACCTACAGCAGGCCTTGACTGTCTGAATATGTTAATGTTTTGATGGAGCTGGAATTAACGTAGGCTTCTCATTCGCCACCTTCTTGGTCGAATTCGCCGTTCCACCTTAAATGGTACATCCTCCTCAGGCGCCAGGATGTAACTGCCACACCAATTAAGGTGGAACTTCAGCCTCATAATGTATTGCAGTCATTCCAAATGGGCTATAGGTGACAGGAGAGTGAAAGAGACAATGAGAGTAAATGAGTGTTGGGGTTGACACAGTATCAGTATTCAGTACTGATATTAATTGTGTATCAATGCTAGATACCAGCAAAGTAGTATAACATTAACATAACATTAAAACCACACGTACTGTCCATTTTATCAGCTCCACTTACTATATAGGTGCACTTTGTAGTTCTACAATTACAGACTGTAGTCCATCTGTTTCTCTGCTTACTTTGTTAGCCCCCTTTTACGCTGTTCTTCAATGGTCAGGACCACCACAGAGCTGGTATTATATCATTCTCAGCACTGCAGTAACACTAACGTGGTGGTGGCGTGTTAGTGTGTGTTGTGCTGGTATGAGTGGATTAGACACAGCAGTGCTGTTGGAGTTGTCACTGCTGGACTGAGAATAGTCCACCAGCCAGAAACATCCAGCCAACAGCGACCTGTGGGCAGCGTCCTGGTTAATTGTAATGCCGTCACATTATATCCGTGTTTGTTTGTTAGTTTGATTATTTATGCCTTAAATCTGTTCTTTTTCTGTTTCAGCTTATTAGAAAACATGGACGGGGGAAACTAGTAAGTGTTGACAATCACAGATGATCGTTGTTTTCACTGAGGGAAGCATGTTCATTAATGTTCTATGTTATGTTCGTGTTTCAACAGTGGGTTCCCCCGTGAATATTTTGATCGTTTAGTCCAAAGTCAAGACTCCTCGGTAGTAAACAAATTCCAGCAGAAGTACTGGAAAACCAAACAGACGCTAATCAAGGTCACAGGGAAGAAAGAAGACGAGCATGTGGTCGCCTCAGATGCAGACTTAGATGCCAAACTTGAGGTAATATCAAAATGCTCAGTGATGAGTAATTCTGAAAATGCGTCATACTCAAATGTCAATATTTCATCCCTCTGTTTTTTCTGTGTCTTGGCTTCTGCAGGTGTTCCACTCTGTGCAGAGGACGTGCATGGAGCTCCTCAAAGTGATCGAACAGTACCAGAGAAGAATATGTTGTACGAAATCATGTTCTCTTTTATCATACTTACACACATAGGTGTAGATTTGGAAGTGGCTGCGAGTGGACTGGGTTTAATTGTCCCTCTGCCAATAGTTCATTCAATATTTCACTCCCAAGTCTTTAGGCTCCCTAAAGAGCTAAACAGCTCTTCTTTCATCAGCATTGTCACTTTTTTGTTCCCAAAATTAGCCAAGTTAGCAATATCATCTGTCTTTTTCCATAATACCTTAATCTAGCTTCTAATAATTAACTTATTAATAAGACAGCATGTTTATTATTTAAAAGAATGAAGATGTCACATCTTAATAAGAAGTTTCACTGGGAGAATTTCAAGAGGCAGCAGTCACAAGATCACAAGACTAAGGCAAATTCAGCCATAGAGATGAAAGTAAAAAATCACATGAACTAAAATGAACTAAAGAAGCACAGTTGTAAACAGGCTAGGGGCAAAAACAACAAAAAGCAACAGGTGTTTGAGATAATGAGGGGGCGGAGCTGGAATGTTCCAAGAGATCCTGGAGGGGGGCTCTTCCATGCTTGTGGGTTCCCAGCGTTCACTATAAAGAGACAGTCACAAACTAACATTCAGCTTTTTTATGTTTATTTACTGTAACAGACTTTTCTGATGTTCAGGACTTTCAAAGATGATTAAAGTGGGGTAAACTAAGCAGTCTACCTGTTATAATGTCAGACATTATCAGATTGTTATCTAACGCTCGATGGTTAGGGCAAATTGTTGTAGAACACCCGTTGGTGCTAACATTATGTTAAAATGTCCAGTTGAGTCTCACTCTGAAGACATTCAGTTCATTAAAGTAGATTAATTGCCATTCTAGCCTCATCACTGAGCACCTCTCTCAGCCCTCTGGCTACACTGATCTGGGTAAACAAACATCAAAGACAAAGGGTGAGTGTAAGGACGATGGGTCAGGTGGAATGGGCAGCGTCCCCCCACCTCTCCCGAAAGTTGAAATGAAACCTATGCCACTGCTAACATGCCACATTTTACCTGCTTAACTTACAGTAAAGTTCGTTTTACATTACAGTTTAAAACTAATTAATCCCAAAATAGATTGTTGTTTCGTTTAGTCATAGGCAGCAAGGACAAAAGGGTTTTACCTGGACTGGAATGGTTTTCAGTTGTTCTTTGCTGTAGTGTGAACATTTGTTGACTTATCCCTTTAAAGTAATTATGAACATACTTATTATTATGGGGTTATTTTGCAAAAGTAGTTGTAACAACATGCAGGTCAGACAGAATTTTAGTGACGAAAGAAAGAAAAAAATGCCAGTGTAACAGTACAACAACACTGAATCTCTATACTGAATTGTTTAGCGTTTTAAAATTGACATATAAAGCATGAGACGTGAATGTAAGTATAGTTGTAGGCATACTTTGTTTACAGTTTCACGTTTGAATTACTGAATAATTTACTGAATAACCAGTCTTAAGATTAATAACTGAAGTTTAAACTGAATATGATTCACTTTCCTTCTATGTTTTCCCCTCAGTTTTATCTCAGGAGGAGAACGAGTTGGGCCGCTTCCTGCGTTCGCAGGGGTCTCAGGACAAAAGCCGTGCGGGGAAGATCATGCAGGCTACGGGAAAAGCCCTCTGCTTCTCCTCTCAGCAAAGGTCAGCTCTTACAACTCATATACTCTGAAGTCCAACAACTGACCGAAAACATCAAAATAAATGACAGTCCATTCATTAATATGGATTTACATCTGCACTCTGATGTTACTTTATAAAGGAAAATTGATGTTCCGCATATATAAAATGAACTGATAGCAGCAGTTTGAAAACTGAGATTATGCCAACTAGTCCTTCTTCGCTTTTAGCGACTTTTAAATGAAATATTGAGAGTTGTCAAAATGCATTAGTGGATCATAATTCAACAACTTTGGAACTTTTCACACACACACACACACACACACACATACACATCGTCTAAACCGCTAATCCTTCTGGGTCGCGGTGTGGAATGTTTCAATTGGTTATAATCAATTTAATAATATTCAACAAAGTATTCACTCATTTTAAATGTAAAGAAGAAAGCTTTTGTGTTGTATTTGTTATCGACTGTCTTACACAAAAGTTTGAACACTTCTGGTCAAAAGACCTGTTTTGTTGATTTTCTAAGTGAAAATAAGTTGTACACATTCTCTATAGAGAAACTACCTGAAAGATTTGTACGTTTTTTGTAAAAAATTAAAGAAGTAGCAATACTGAGTCAGAAAGACATGGTGTGTAAAATGTTCTGTGTGCAGTGTAATAGTAAAGGATATTTTGCCTGAAATTCACATGGAGTATTGCACATGAGATACTGGTTTATATTACACATGGGAATGGTGAGGAGTTAACAATATGAACGTTATAAATAGAAAACAAAAGTCTTTACACTATAGAGATAATTTTAAAAAATTATTTCACATGGAGTATTGATTATATTATATAGTAATACTAATGTAAAAGCCCTGTAATAGTAATAGCCCTAATATGGTAATTTAAAAGCCCTGTAATAGTAGCAGTCGTGTAATGGATTAGTCATACATCTTTGCATATTAATGTCACATGCAAAAAAAAGGCTCAAAAAAAAGGTCCGGCTCGATGTTTAGGTCTCAAATACAAAACCAGTAACTGAGGAAAATATGACGACCATAATAGAGTGTTCACTCACATCCTCAGAAAACACATTCTTCGGCAAGTGTTAAGTTCTTTTTGAATTCTCTTTCATCACACTTGCAATCATCAGATTCATTCACTCTGTTAAGGGGTCCAAAGTACAGCCCCACCTCACAAAATGTTCTACCACACGTTGCATGCAGTTATACTTTCCAAATCCTCAAATATACATAAAGCAGCTGCAAAAAAAGGCATTTTCTGCAGATTTTAGTCCACAATTTTTATTTATTTGTTGAGTTTAACATATTGGAAAAACATTAAATATAAAATGTGCCAGAACTTTTGCACAGGCCACTTTTATGTTTTATTTTTTCCCCTTTGACCTTTGTGTCCTTTGTCCAGGTGTGCCCAGACTTTTGCATTTGACAGTATATTCCACTGCTGTATAAAAGGTTCCTTCAGTCACATTTGTGCATTCGGTGTAATTTAGGAAGAAGTAATCAAACAGAATCAAATAATGGAATTGGGTCATTCAGAGGTCAGAGATTTACACCCTGGAATTATTACTTTAAAGCATTGTTATTCACTGTGCTGAGCCTGACGAGGCGCTGTAATCCCTGCTCATATTTGACCATGTTCTGTAGGCTGGCGTTGCGTGTCCCGCTGTGCCGTCTGTACCAGGAAGTGGAGACGTTTCGTTACAGGGCCATCTCAGACACGTGGCTGACCGTGAACAGGATGGAGCAGGCCAGAACGGAGTACCGGGGGGCGCTGCTGTGGATGAAGGACGTGTCTCAGGAGCTCGACCCCGACACGCACAAACAGATGGAGAAGTTCCGCAAGGTCAGACTCACCCAGAGCACAAGTCTGTTTTTCAGGTTGACCCTTAAGGCCAGACAATAAGCAGCTATTTTTCTGTGGTGTAATTTTCTCGTCCTTTTATAACATTATTGCTCAGTGCTGTTGTCGCATTTCTTTGATTTGATATGTGTTAGTGGATATTACTGGTCCATAGCAATGTGAGTTGTGTCCTGAATGTGTGCATTCACTCACTCATAAATTATTGCAGTGCATCCAGCAATAAAGGCAGCATGGAGCTTCTTTTTATGCAGGGATAGGAAACTCAGTAGCATACAGAAAACTCCAATTACTCTTGATCTATTTTTCTGACCAATGTGCATATCTATCACAGTCTACAGTGGGGGCACGTTTTAATGAGTTAAACGGGATGTGAGTTTGGGGTTTTTGGTTGAAAGAAATGCTTCACATTTGCTAAAACAGTTGCCATTATAAATTGTGTATAAATTCTTTTAGAATAGGTGTAAGCCTGCAGCAGATTTACTTGATGGTATCATGAAGTAAAGTTCCCTTTAACTTTCACTAACCATAATCATATCATTATTACTTTATCATCTTGCTGCACTATTAAAAGGTAAGGACATAATTACAGACTCCTTTAATGTAAACTACAGTACAGTTGCAGCTGTCGTTTTCATTGTGTGAATATTTAATGATGAATGGACCAATACAGATGGTCCAAGATTACTTTGAATAAAATCTCTTTACTATGGAGCCCTTCTGGTGACATGTTGTATAAGTTAAAATAATGGGTGGCCATGACTTAGTAAGGCCTTAGTAAGTTATTCTTTTTATGTACTTTATTCATTTTAAATCAGAAATTCTTGTTCCTCCTCTGATCTCTGATCTTGTCAGTTTGCAGCTTTGAACTGTTTTGCTTTCTGCAGGTTCAGGCGCAGGTGCGTCACACCAAGACGAGCTTTGACAAGCTGAAGAACGACGTTTGCCAGAAGGTGGATTTATTGGGAGCCAGCCGTTGTAACCTGCTTTCTCATGTCCTTACAAATTACCAGGTACGTCACTCTAACATCAAATGACTGTGGTAGTACTACTGTGATCTATTAATGGCATTTTGCTAACACTTTTTTGTAGTCCACCTTCATAGAGGCATCGAATAACAATTTTAAAAAGCAATACTTGAGTGTTTATGAACAGCCTATGTTAGCGTTCATTTTAAGTACACTAAAGCTACAAAGTTTGGAATTTGTTTTTGTTTTTTTTTCAACAAAACCAATTTAGTTGCAGAAACGTTTATAAACTGATTCTAATATGTTAGTCCTGTGGAACTTCATAGGTTGCAAATAATTAGCTGGATAGTACAGAGCTGAAAATAAAAATTAAGAAATGTTGCATCTGTGTAGATCGAGGAACTGAGCTGTAGATGATTCTGAAATGACTGAGAAAGCTGTACGACATCAAGAATGAAGTTAAAATAAAATTATTATCCAGGAGATGAAATCTCAAGGCAGAGAATTTGACAAAAAAATCATTTTATTCACTCCTTGCTCACAGAATTCTTGGAATTTTGAATAAAATAGGTGATAATATGTAAACCTACATTGTATAAGGTGCTGTGTAATGACAAAAATTGCCGTTAAACAACAAAAATTGTTAATGTGGAAAGTGATTCCAAACTTTTAAACACTAGTGTAAATAACATTGTATTGTTATAAGGGCCCTGAAGTGACCAACATTTCTTCCATTAATAACACTGTTATAAAGCTTCATTTCTATGTAATGGAATCTATACAGCAGAGATTGAGTCAAGAACACCATATATCAATATTGTAAATATGTCCATAATTTAATGCTTATGCATGTCTTGTAAAGTCCCTATGTAGATAGACTTAAAATCAAATATTAGTCATTTTCAGGGTGAAAAATCTTAAACCTGTAGAAACTTAAAAGCCTTGAAAATGGCCACTTGTATTTTGAGCTGTTTTGGGCTAATGTCTACTGTAGGAAGCACAGTACAAACACATATAGATAGAACCAACTCTACCAACTTACCCTGAGCTTTCCTGTTTTTACTTTAGGGGTATTTGAGCCACAGGACTGTGGTAAGATTTAAAGGGCAATTCCACCAGTTTTTCACAATTTCTGTATAATTCAGTGGTTGGGATGTAAACAAAATCAAAGCAAAACAGACAAAAGTTTGATGTGAAATGGTTAATTGTACAGCAGCTTACCAGCTTTGATTTCTTCACGTGGCAATGATAGGAACCAGATTTCATGAAGTCTATAACACAAATATAGCTGTTTTGCTTGCTATTCAAAATGACCAGTGAACGTACACAGTTTTATATCTAATGTTGATGGTAAGATGGTGATCAATTTGAGAAGAAAAAAAACATTTTTAGAGACTGTTTTGCCTTAAACATGTACCTCTTTATAAAAAGGTTTTTTAAAATATTGGTGGAATTGCCCTTTGAGGTTAAACTTTCCTGTATATAATCAGAATACTTCAACAATTGTTGTTTTGTTTTTGTCCAAACTGCAGACCACGCTGCTGCATTTCTGGGAGAAAACGTCTCACACCATGGCCGCCATCCACGAGAGCTTCAAAGGCTGCCAGACCTACGATCTCTCAGCGCTTAAGGTCGGAGCACAATTGCTGACGAACTTCGTTTAATGTCATTCCTCTTGTTTTAAAGGAGCTTTCTGTACAAACTCCATAATATGATGGAATAATATGGGAATAAGACTGAATTTCGTGCAGAGTGGCTGATTTTTTCCCACACTTTACTATAAGGAATAATTTGAAATTATGGTGTTTGCTTGTGTTACAATGAACTTAAGTCATATTAAAAGGGAATTCCACCAGTTTTTCAAAATGTCTGCATAATTCAGTTGTTCTGATGTAAACAAAGTGATTGAGAGTGGTTTGATGTGAAATAGGTCATTGTATAGAAACATACTGAAGGATTTCTTTACAACTCGCAACTTTTGGGTTTTTTTAGATGCTGCAGAATAAAGGTTCTGATCAGGGAGCAAAGAAAAGAGTGAAAAAGAAAAACAAGACAAAAACGGAAGAAGAAGAAACGGGTCCAACCACAGAGGACACGTAAAAGACATTCTCTCTGCATTACCTGTTATATATCTGTGTGATGTTGTTATTGCACTAATGTGTCCCTCATTCCTTTAATTCCTCAGTCTTATTTCAATAGATGAAGAGGATCTAAATAAGGACGTGAGTCAGTCAGGTACAGCACCCATCTGCCATACTAAATGCTTAGCACAGCCTAAATAGTTTTTTTGTACAATAACCTAAACACGGTCTGTAAATGGTCCAGTGTTAAAGGGCTGAAATGGAAACTAAGATGCAAAAACAGCCCACTTTCACTTTTCATTATGCTTATGATGTCACAACCATGGGCACGATTACATATGTCCACCAACTGCCCATTGACAAGGAGTGTTGGCACAACATACAGTTGAATGAGGCGCATTACAGGCCATATGAAAAGGTTTTAAACACCTCCAGTCAAATTATATGTTTTGTTGATTAGTGTGCAGTTTCTGTTTATTTGTTTATCTGTTTATTTTAACATATTGGGAAAAAACATATAATGTGCCATAACTTTTGCACACGTCTCATATTGTTTTAATTTTTTAATTCAACAAATGAACAGTGTGCATTAAAATGTGCAGAAGTGTGTTCTCTGTAGAGGATGTGTTCACGTATTTTCACTTGGAAAATCAACATAACCTACAATCTGACTAGAGAGGCCCAAACTTTTACATATGACTGTATGAGTCTTAAAGGCACAGTAACAAAAGCAGACTGTTTAATTGTAAGGGATGATAGTGAATTAATTAGAGCTGTCTTTGGTAGATAAACCCACACAAACAATATAAATGAGCTTTATATACAATAAATGTAGAATGAGTCCTTAAATATGTGCAATATGGGTCCTTTAAAAAAGAATCTTTGAACCTTTCTTATGAGGAATCTAAGCATTTCACTTTTTACTACAAAAGAAATTATGAAATAAAAATTTAAGTCAATGAAATAAACTCCAGAATAGTGCTGATGCAAACTACCTGTGTGTGTCCAGGCCCAGAGGAGGCGCTGTCCAGCAGCGGTCAGGAGAAGGACAGCCTGAGCCTGCTGAGCGAGATCCTGGGCTCGAGCTCGTTGGAGGAGGGTGATTTCTCCCGTGAGTGGAGGGAGGTGTTCGGAGAGGACGAGTGCCTGGACAGCGGAAGCAGCAGTGCTGCCGGACTCTCAGATGTCCAGCTGGAGGAGGAGAAGGGTTCATTCTTTCTCCCTTCACGCCTGCTGGACCAGAACATTCACAACTTGCAGTCTGCAGTCTCAGGTAGAGAGGCCCTTACTACACAGCTCAACAACCAAAAGTATCGGAACATGTACAGTAGCAGCTACAAAGTTTGCTCGCACTCAATTTTTGTTTGTTTCCAACACTAATAATGGTGACCTTCTATATTAAATTATTCAAAGTATGGGAGGGGGGCAGTTGAAGCGGTTTCCTTAATTCATAATTGAGTGTCAATTTTATATTTTTATATCCAAATGTTTTTAGGATTATGAGAATCAGGATTGACAGGGACTGTAATTCAGTGCAAATGCGCTTTTTTGGGGAAATGCAGTAGTTCATCCTTGGTCAGAAAGTGTGTTGATATTGTTAATGTTCTGGCCAAGGATGAACTATTGCATTTCCCAATAAATCACATTTGCACTGATTTCTGGCACCATGAAGGTGGACTAGTCATCCAGTCCTGATTTAAAACCGAGATGACCATCTCAGTGTGTCACATACTGACGTCTGTCCTTAGCGACTCCCTGTAATCACCCCTCTCTGGTAATCTGATAATTTGCAGCATTTTCTGACATTGTCCCAGTACTTCTGGTAGTGTTGTGTATACTGTGCCTGCAATATGGTGAACTTAAGATGATCACTTATCTTTGATGCTTATGAAAGCCCTTAATCCTCTACTGCATACATTATGGGAGCAATAAAAAAAATATATATATTCAATTCACTTTTCTTGCATAAAATTGTCCTTGATTTATTTTTTCAGACCCAATTATTAAATTCAAAAATCTAAAGTGTGCTGGAGTCGTGTTCCCTGAAGTGGTGAGACCTGGCTTGTGACTGGCGAAATCCATTCTACTGTCGCACAGTGTTGCTTCTAGGCAACAAACATATTTCCGCAAATTATAATAACAAACAAAAAACTGATACTGAATGTTAAAAAAGAGGTCTAAATGCACCCACTAAGAAAGAGCATCATCAAGTACATGCTTTTTACTGACTTACTCAAACCTTTCCCTTTTATTGTTAACCCTATCATTGTCTTTAAATATGTATAATGTCATTGTAAAGTGAGGAAAATGAGTTTGTTGCCCTGAGGCAACATTGTGCAGTAGGGTTAATGGTCTTAATCCGGCCGATCTTATAGCCCTATCCAGACCACTTCTCTCAGCTGAAGCAAACTCCTAGGATCACTTACAGCTCAGCTGGTGGAAAATCATTTTCTTAAATAACCTTTGGAACACAATTTCAGAGAATATTAGGAATACAAACTTGTTTGTAAATAAAATATATAGTAATATATATTATAGTTGTTTTTAAATCCAGATTAAAACGCGTACACAGATGAGCCAAAACGTTATGACTACCTGCCTAATATGCTTTTGGACCTCCGGGTGCCACCAAAACAGCTCCAACCCACCAATATCTTGACTCTACAAGACTTCTGAAGGTGCCCTGTGGTATCTGGCACCAAGACATTAGCAGAAGATCCTTTAAGTCCTGTAAGAGGGGAGGTGGAGCCACTGCGGATCGAACTTGTCCCAGCACATCCCACAGATCCTCAGTCGGATTGAGATCTGGGGAATTTAGAGGCCAAGGTAACACCTTGAACTTGTGATCATGTTCCTCAAACCATCCCAGAACACTGTGTGCAGTGTGGCAGGGCGCATTATTCTGCTGAAAGAGGCCACCACCATCAGGAAATACCATTGCCATGGAGGTGTGGACCTCATCTGAAATGATGTTTAGGTAGGTGGCACGTGTCAAATTTACATTTACATGAATGTCCAGACACAGAGTTTCCGGGCAGAAGATTGTATCACCCTCCCTCCACCACCCTGTCTTTTTGCACAGTGCATCATGGTGCTATCACTTCCCCAGGTAAACAGAGCACACATACCCAGCCATCCATGTGTTGTAAAAGAAAACGGCACTCAACGGACCAGGTGACATTCCTCCATTGCCCCAAGGTCCAGTTCCAACACTTGCAAGCCCATTCTGGACACTTTCAGCAGTGGACAGGGGTTAGCATGGGCACCCTGACTGGCTGGCTGCGATGGGTGCAATGCACAATGTGTTGGGACACATTTCTTCTGTAACCGTCATTAAAGTAGCCCTTCTGTTAGTTCTGACCAGGCGGGATAGCCTTTACTACCCTCATACATCAATGAGCCTTGGGTGACCAACACCCTGTTGCTGGTTTTTGGCATGTCTCTCCTCGGACCACAGTTGGTAGTTGCTTACTACTGACCAGGAGCACTCCACAAGCCTTGTCGTTTCAGACACCCAGTCGTCTGGCCATGACGATGTCGCCCTTTTCAAGGTTGCTCAGGTTTCATGCTGCCCATTTCTTCGGTCAGCTAGGCGAACCAACTGTTTACTTACCATCTAATATGTCCCAAAGCTTGACATGTGCCTTTGCTATGAGATAAGTGATGCTATTTGCTTAACTGTAACTGTCATAATGTTTTGGCTCATTGGTATATAGACTAGCACATACCTAAAGTATTTGTGTCTGGGGTTTGTAATTGTGCCTTTATATAAAGAAGTTATTATCTTTGCATTATTGGAGATCATTGAAGCTGCATCAGGTGTGTGAATATTTAGTTGGATAAGCATGAAATGCACCACTTAATAATAATAATAATAATAATAAGCAAAGAATAATGTCAAGTTTTAGCATGACACTTACTGAGACATTTCAAGTGGATGATTCTTTAATCCCACCATCCTTCCAGGCTGGACTATGGCAAATCCACAGAGCACCGCAGGCCCAACTGAACAAACGGCTGGAGCCAGTCAGATCACTTCCAAACCCACAGCAAGAGGTACTTCTAACTATGTGAAACTGCTGATAACATGCTAAAGATTCTGAATTTACAGCATCAGTTACATTAACCCCTTATACTACAAGTTTATTGTATAGTTAAGACGTATTATTCAACAAGTACTATAACTGCCTTGAAACTAATATGTGAGTTATGTAGTTAAGAGAGAGGCATATGAGGCAGTTTAAACGGTTAAATAGTAAAATCTTATAGTAGACTGTGAAGTAGTTTTCACTGACTTTGTGTTTTTGTGTCGTCGTGATGTACAGACACCCCTGAAACCATAAAGGATCGCTCTGCGTGGTTCAACCTGTTTGCTGATCTGGATCCTCTGACCAACCCGGACGCAGTGGGCAGAACAGACAAGGAGCACGAGCTGCTTACTGCATAAACATCTCCTCAAGCACCTCATCTATCTCTACCTGCTGCAGCCGCACAAAGGACAGACTGGACCTCTACAGACGCGTTTGTTGCATGATTATTTCCTTACACTGTAACAAATATCCTTCAACCTGGACTGGTTGTTCAGATTTGTGAGCCAAAGGAAGTCAAAACCATTGCCTTCTGTAGTTCTTCATCCTTCTCATATCTGTGCCAATATTTGTTTTAGCTGCAAGGAATTCTATTATGCTAAAGTGGTATAATTTGAGCTACTGATCATTTTTTGTTTTTTGCTTGCTGAAGAAAAGTATATTACAGGCCAAATTCAGGAAAACGTTTTAAAGGGGAATTCCACTGCTTGTTTTCAGTTGCTGCACAATTCAGTCACTAAGATGATGAATATATAAAAGCCATTCTGAATATGTACAGTCATTCAGAGTGGTTTTGTGTGAAATCCTCCGTTCTAGAGAAACCTGATGAGTCAGAATTGTTCAAAGTGGTGGTGATAGGAACCAGACGTCTGAACAGTTCAATGCCTCTAAGAAAAGCTGATACATAGGAAGTGTTTCTAAGGTTTGAAGTGATGTAAATATATTGCTTTTGTTCATCTAAACTAAACTTTTGCTCTCTAAAGCATTTACTTCAGTCGAATAAAACCAATTCAGTTGCTTATCACATACTCAGTATTTTTTTTTTCAAACCAATTTTTACAGTGTATTATTTTCATCCCATTTCATATCAACTTTACATATGGAAACTCACCGTAACATGAATCAGAACCCAAAGAAAATGTATTTTTCCAGATTCACAGCTATTTTGCCATATCAGCATTACATATAAAAATTCAGAAGGCATGTGTGGGTTCACTGCTGGTTTTGGATAGTAAATAAAATGGCTGTATTTGTGCTTCCCATCACCACCACTGTAAAGAAATCAGAGTATGTTTTTTCTACAATGAACCATTTCACGTTAAAGGTGGAATTCCCCTTTATTTATAGTCGTACTGTGTTGCTGCCTGAGTGGAAATAAGTGTGGTGAGATGAAGGCCTCACCAGTTCATCATCTAGCATTCCTTAGCGGTTATTGTGTGTAAAAAGTGGTATATTTCACATTCAAAGATTTAGAAATTGTTTTCCAAATGCTAGAGCTGAGGTCATATTTACAGCACATTCACATATTTACATAAACTCAGTCTGGCATTATCGATTTAAACCAATGCTGCAAATTTGAAGCCTTAAACAGCAAACTTGAGTTAAAACGTCAGTTAAAACGCTAACTTGTACCGCTTTGGCCAGTTTGGTGATGTAAATATTTGTCTACATTGATGCTGACATACTGATTAAGGCCATAGCTGATAATCTTGTGTGTTGGGTTCTGTTACATATCAGCCCTCAGTGCCGTCCCAGTTCCACTATAGAAAAGGTACAGTCTTCTATTTAAATGTATTATATTTGATATAGTGCCCCCTAGTGTAGGCAGATTGAGTAACACTTGAAAAATCCTCGCTGTAAGTGTAAATACAAAGTGCAATATTCTGCTGACAGGTCATTATTTAGTGACTGATGACACCTTATATGAAGTGGGACTAAAGATTCTATTTAGCTAAATAAGGCTTAGTTTAATATAACTAGCACCATTTAAACACCTCAGATACATCTTATAAACATCAAAACATTGTTATAAGTAAAAAACGACTGGCTATTTTGTCTTGTACTATTGCTTTTTTGTATCATCTGGGTAACTATACAACTCGTACATAAATAAATGTGACCATATAAAAAGCATGAATGCAAATAGTAATAAAAAGATTAAAATATGTACGTCTGAGTCGAGATTCATTAGATTTTCCATTGAGCCAGAAACTCACCCATCATTGTGCTTCCCAGGTTTAAAAGGACAGTAGTTCAGTGTGTACATTCAGACAAATATTCTGCTTATTAAAAATGGTGTTGGGCATTATTTGAGGAACAGATCTCATGGTTATTTTGGACATGTTGATATTTCTGAAGTTTTCTAGATACAATTAATACACTGTCATAAAGTCTACTTTTTACACCATTTGAAACTGTCCTTTACACTGTGGGATTTGGAAAATGGACCAAGCAAACCGTTTACAATAAAGAGGAATGCTGCCAATAGTTCATACTTAAATGGTTAAGATGTACACAAACTCTTTCAGAGTGGTTTAATGTGAAATGGTTCATTCTAGAGAAACGTACCAAGCCAGAAATGTCCGCAGTGGTGATGACCAGAATCTGCTGCCTGATGTCTTTTATGATTCTTGGTTTTACTACTATCTACTATCAAAATTCAGAAGATGTGTAGGTTCACTGATGGTTTTGGATGAAAAAGTTTCTTAGCTATATTTTTGTTTTGTCACAACCCCTGGTTCCTATGACCACCCTGTAAAGAAAACTGGTAGGGGTCAGTAAGTTTCTCTGCAATAAACCATTTCATCTTAAACCACTGACTTTATCACTTCTCAACAATAATGTAGAAAGTTGAAAGTTCCCTTTTAAAAGATGTTAAGAGCATCAGGCCTCATTCACCAATATCTTCCTAAGTTTCTTCTTAAATTTGTTCTTGATGAAGGTCCTAAGAAAAAGTCTACGTCAGATTCATGACGTGTTCTTAAAGCACAGAATAGTTCTCACCTTTGTGCTCTTGAGTGAGTGCAGATTCTGTTCTTACCTAAGAACAAACCCCAAATAAGAAAACACTGTCAGGATCTTCGTGAAAACTGCGCAAGTTGGTTTTAAGAAGAAATTTCTTCTTATGAACGATTGGTGAATGAGGCCCATTGTTGTCCTTAACATTTTGGAGATGCGAGGTTTTCTTACAACATTCCAATGCTGTCATTTTTTAACAAGTCAGTTCAAGCACAGTAGCTGCTGGACTGTTTTAACAGCCCCTGAGTCCTTTTAACCTTGACCTGTAGATCTATACTGCATTAAGACCTTTGAGGAGATTTATCAGTTCCGAGCTGCTGATGGCGGCACTTTCAGTTAGCAGTGGAGTGTCCTGTAGGTGCTGCAGCAGTGCGGAGGTGGTCTCTCTCGTCCCCCGGCCTGTTTAAACTGACCCGTGGGCTGCCCGCTCTGGGAGCTGGACCCACAGACTGAAGGAAAGAAAGAGGAGTCCAGCTGTCTGACGGGGCAGAAGGGTCCTGAGCCAGTCGGGACGAAGCTCACTTTGTTTCTGTCGGGGCAGGAGAAGACGGGGAAGCCTTTTGACCTACAAGGGCTGGAGAGGGAACCAATAATAAGATCAAATGCCCAGGAAACATGGCCACCAATCGGTCTCTACAACTGGCCACTTTGTGAGAAACACCCCCTTATTTATCAGAGCTCCTCTTTGTTGGTGTACAGTTAGAGACTGTATCCCACAGTTTTTGTCAGCCACACTCAAACCCAGTGGTGTCAAACTCAACCACTAAAAGGGACATGCTAAAAAAATCTCAACAAATCTGTGGGCCAAATTACGCCTGTGTTTTTATTTAGTTTTTAACTAATGTTGTGCTGTAACCCAAACTGACTATTGTTTATTCATAATACGCAAAAACTTCAACAGTAATGTACACAGATCAGGCATAACATTATAACCACCTCCTTGTTTCTACACTCATTGTCCATTTTATCAGCTCCACTTACTATATAGGTGCACTTTGTAGTTCTACAATTACAGACTGTAGTCAGTGTTACTGCAGTGCTGAGAATGATCCACCACCCGAATAGTACCTGCTCTGTGAGGGTCCAAGGGGGTCCTGACCACTGAAGAACAGGGTAAAAGGGGGCTAACAAAGTATGCAGAGAAACAGATGAACTACAGTCTGTAACTGTAGAACTACAAAGAGCACCTATATAGTAAGTGGAGCTGATAAAATGGACAATGAGTGTAGAAACAAGGAGGTGGTCATAATGTTATGCCTGATCGGTGTACAGGCGCTTGTAGTAGACCTTCAAATATTACATGAATACTTGAAATATTCAAAATTTAATTGTCTTGGGCTCAATTTACAGTTGAGGTGTAACTGCTGTCCCATTGATTGCTGTTGGAGTAGGAGAGTTGGAGCACATTATGTTGCAATGCATGCTGGGAATTGTAGTGCAGGGCACTGTGAAACAGGCTCATGTTAATAGAAAATTAAAGTACTTATCTGGCCCGCAGGCCTTGTGTTTGACACATGAGCTCTAGCCTTTCATTAAAGGTCAGCTTCTGACCACAGGACTGCTTTTGGTTGAATATTTTGTTGGACCACTCTCAGCCTAGCAGCAACACTGCATCAAAACTACCATGGTAGTGTCACTGCTGTGCTCAGGATGGTCCTGGTCCCATATCATATCTGGTAAAAGCAGCAATGTGATCAGAAACTGACCAATCATGGATGGTGTGGGGTGGGTGAGGCTGATAAAGTGTCTTATTTACATCTATACAGTAAACCTATAAGGCAGATGGAGCTCAAGAAGTAAACAGTGAGGTGGAGCTACAAGGTAAGGGTCTCTAATCAAAGAAGGGTGGGTGTGCATACAGGGGATGTTATCAATCACTCCTAAAAGGTTTAAAATGAATACCGAAGACAGATTAACTCACAAAGTCTCCTCAAACACCTTGATCTTCTCACAGCCCTCAGGAGGAACCCGTTTGAAGATGAAGCTGTTGTTGGGTTTGGGGGAGCTGGCCAGTGGGGGCAGTGGTGAGCTGCTCTCGTTCACTGGAAACAGAACAAAGCACATGTAGCATGACTGAGCAAGTAGCTTTACTGCACAGTGAACAATAGTGTCTTATATCGCTGTTGTCAGAAGAAAACCTTCTATCTCCAAAATGGTAACTTTACAGGAGAAGGAAATAACATACTTTACTGTTAATGTAAGTCAATGGAACCGGGCGTTTTTCCCCCCCAAGTCATTTTAGGTCATTTCTTTTAGTCCATTCATCATGAAATTAACATACAATGTAAAGGGTCACATGTTTTTCCAAATTATGTCAAAAACTGAAAAACATCAAAAATGGAGATACAAGGTTTTCTTCCGACAGCAGCGATATGCTAATTTTCACCCTTAACCTAAACGCAGTCAGTCAGCCAGGACATGTTTACCTATTAAGTTTTGCATTGGAGCTACGAGGCTAATGTAGCTAACAAGTAATGGAAGCTTATTAAATCATCACGTTCCTCAAACTGTCCATCTGTATAGATAAAAGTATATCATACAGTGTCTTCAAAAACAAGTTCTACAGTTACAGACTGTAGTCCATCTGTTTCTCTGCATACTTTGTTACACTGTTTTTCAATGGTCAGGACCCCACAGGACCACCACAGAGCAGGTACTATTTGGGTGGTGGATCATTCTCAGCACTGCAGTAACACTGACGTGGTGGTGGTGTGTTAGTGTGTTGTGCTGGTATGAGTGGATCAGACACAGCAGTGCTGCTGGAGTTTTTAAACACCTCAGTGTCACTGCTGGACTGAGAATAGTCCACCAACCAAAAATATCCAGCCAACAGCGTCCTGTGGGCAGCGTCCTGTGACCACTGATGAAGGACTAGAGGATGACCAACACAAACTGTGCAGCAGCATATGAGCTATCGTCTCTGACATTACATCTACAAGGTGGACTGACAAGGTAGGAGTGTCTAATAGAGTGGACAGTAAGTGGACACAGTGTTTACAAACTCCAGCAGCACTGCTGTGTCTGATCCACTCGCACCAGCACAACACACACTAACACACCACCACCACGTCAGTGTCACTGCAGTGCTGAGAATGATCCACCATCCAAATAACACCTGCTCTGTGGGGGTCCTGTGGGGGTCCTGACCACTGAAGAACAGGGTAACAGAGTATGCAGAGAAACAGATGGGCAGTCAGTAACTGTAGAACGAGCTGATAAAATGGACAACAGTGTTATTTTAATGTCACGGCTGATCAGTGTAAGCTTCCATTACTCGTTAGCTACGTGAGCCTCGTATCTCCAAACATGTTTTGGCTGATTAACTACATTCAGGGTGAGAGGAAACTAGTGTAAGTCTGATTTCTGGTAGAAAAGTGCTACCATAGTCATGGCCTTCACTAAAGTCAGGCCTGCTGGTGAAGGAGTCCAGGGCTTGTGGGAGGTCAGCGGAAAAGGGGAACAGATGTGGGCTGTGATGGCCGTTGGAAACGAGCTGTGTGTCCACGCTCTGTGTCTGGTGGTGAGGAGGGACTGGAGCACACCGTCCATCCTGCAGCTCCTACAGTGTGAAGAGAGAAGAACAGGAAAATAAAATGTGCTGTTTTTCAAAACTGTTGGTTTATTTTATTTTATGTAGTTTTTAATACAATGGCAAATGTGTTCATTTTTCATTTATGTGAGTAAAGTATGACTTTCACTGTTTTGCTAATACTTCCGGTAGGTTTTGGGTCATTCTACAGAAACGTCCACTTTTTTATCTGTCCATAGGAGTCACTGGTGTTACTGATCGTCATTGGTGTTACACATAAGAAAGGCAACACCAGAGACATTTTTAAAGACAAATGCATTTTACAAAAAGAGCATCAAACCACATTTTGTCAATCATGGAATATCCACCAAAATATGTAATTTAATCCATTTGTATTCTATTTTTTTCACAATTACCTAAGAATAAAGTCGGTCACACCAGTGACGTCAACTAAAAGCTTCATATGAAATCATGAGCTAAATGAGAAAATCTCTGATAACTGAGAGACACAGTGGACTCACCATGAGCTTTTCTTCATAGATTCTCAGGAAACAGGTAAAAGGAAGTCAAGTGATGTCATCAGCTTGAATTTAATTTCAAAATAAGAGATTTTTTGTGACACGACTCCTGGGGACCCCAACTTTCATTATATATTTTATAATATTTATTTGGCATTTGTTTTCTTCACGTCATTTAAATCATATAGGTCACAGTCATGTATAGATTATTAGTTAAAATTGCAGAAAAACACGTTTTGTACCTCAAAATGTGGGACATGGCTGTGAGGACAAGCACTTCCGTGGTGCTTGCAATTCTATATAATTGATTTGAAAAGCAGTATTGCTAAATTATTGGCTCAACTGTTAAAATAATTTATTGTTTTATTTTAAAATCTAAATAAATTGTAACCCTAACATGTTTTTAAGTGTAATATATCTATAAACGCTAGGGACACAAAAATGGACGTTTTTGTAGAATGACTCTTTTCCAACTGTCTGATTCTGTGTAAAGAGCAGGTTTTGCTTAATAAAATGTTTTTCCCCTAAATTTTTGTTAAAAGCACATAGTGAAATTTTTCTGCACTGCAAAACAATGGTATCCTGTCGAGTGAAATGATCTTAAATCTAGTCAATATATCTAATATTTCCCCATTTTAAATTTGTTCTGCACTTATTATAAGATTATCTAGCTTATTTCCCAAATTATTTTACTTGTTTTAAGTTATTTTATTAAGTAAAATTGTCTCACTATACTGGCAGATAATTCAGCTTGTTTCAAGCAGATTTCTCAAACAAGCAAAATCATCTACCAATACAGTGAGATAATTTCACTGAATAAAATCACTTAAAACAAAGATTTCAGGAAATAAGCTAGATGATCTTATAATAAGTGAACAGCAAATTTAAAATGGGAAATATTAGATATATTGACTAGATTTAAGATCATTTCACTTGAGAGGATACCAAGTTAAATAATCCTAAATTAAGTTTACAACAATCTCAACAGGAGAAATATTAGATTCACTGAGATAATTTTACTTGATAAGAAACCATTTTTTGCAGTGTGGCCCTGAACTTGGTGTAAATATCTGAAGGACTGAGGGCTAAAATAGGGGGATAAAACAAGTCACATTAGCAGTATTCAAATACACTCAGTATTCAGATGGAAAGATGGAAACAGCTCCCTGTTTAACCTTGTCTGGTTTTCTCGGTAATGTGATTCAATTCCACTGTGTCTTTGCTGCTTTCCAGTGCTTTGAGAGAGATACACGTTTTTAACTGTGAGGCTACAGATATGGAGCTGACTAGTGCACTGCAGTTTATCAGTTTGGACCATTTCCTTCCCTCAACAAACTGCAGAAAAATACTGACAGTTTGTCCTGAAGCTTGTTACACAACTCGTTTCATACATACATCAGTTTTTATCCATCATCTTTGTTGAGATACAATATAATATATTATTTGTCATCATAATATGTGTTTGAATTCTATATCTCAGTAGCGGAGCTAAAGGAGTTAATATGTCAAATTTGCAAATCAACAAAGAAAACATTCAGTCTTGTCTTACCAAAAGAAAAAATGATGCGATTTATTACTACTTCAACCTCAGATTCCTTGGCCTAAAACTAGAAAGGGAATGAACTTTGAATGAACTTTAAATTGCCTTGAAAAAGTCAGCTAATTGCATTAAAATGTTAAAATGGTGGAAAACTGTTGATGGTTGTTCAAATGTTGCTAAAGTGTTGCTAAGCGGATGCTGCAGTATCCAAGGTGGATGGTAATGCATTGCTAGTTGCTACCGTAAATGAAGTTCCACCTTAAATTCCGTGCCACCTTTATTTTAGCGCTGCCTTAAATGGAGTTCCACTTTAAATTCTGTGCCACCTTGAATTTAGTGCTATGTTAATTGAAGTTCCTATTCCATCTTAAATTCTGTGTCACTTTATATGGAGTTCCACCTTAAATTCTGTGCCACTTTAAATGAAGTTCCACCTTAATTTCTGTGCCACCTTAATTTTAGTGCTACCTTAAAGAGTTCCACCTTAAATTCTATGCCACCTTAAATTTAGTGCTAAGTTAATTGAAGTTCCTATTCCATCTTAAACTCTGAGATTTTAAGGACTAGGAATGTTGTGTAATGTTAAAAAAATCTTAAACAGGAATAATATTCTTTAACGAGCAAATCCATTTTAGGAGATTTTAGGTATATTATGCACTCTACAGTGCATAATATCATCAAAAGATTCAAGGAATCCAGAGAAATATCTGTGTGTAAACGACAAGGCACTAAAACCGTAGCTGAACGCCCCTGACTGTGACAGCTCTGCATTAAAAAGCAGCATGTTTCTGTGAAGAATATCACCACCATTGGGAACCAGTGCACAGTGGAAACATGTATTGTGGTCTGATGAGTCAGACTTTCAGAAATAATGGATGCTGCGCTTTCCAGGCCAGAAACTGAAAGGACTATCTACACTGTTACCAGCATAAAGTTCGAAAGCCAGGCTCTGTCATGGTATGGGGGCGTATTAGTGGCCTGCACATCTGTGAAGGCACCATTAATGCTGCAAGATATACAAATTTTGCAGCAGTATGTCGCTGCTGTCAGAACAAAACCACATATCTCCATTTTTGTCATTTTTTAGTTTTGACATAATTTGAAAAAGCAATGGAGCAAAGAAATGGCTCTAAATGGCTTGGAAGAAATTCTGGTTCCATTGACTTACATTAAAAGTAAAGTATGTTTTTTCCTTCTCCTGTAAAGTTACCATTTTGGAGATACGAGGTTTTGTTCCGACAGCAGTGATATGCTGCGCTCTACATGATGTCACTTTTTAAGGATTTCCATGCTTATTTCACCATGACAAAGGCGTTTGATTTATGAAGGACATTATAAAGCACAAAATACGTCAACGAAGGCCGGTAGGGTTGCATAGCTAGAGTTGTATAATGGAAGAATGACTTTCAAAGCTGGATCAGTCGGTGTCTTCAAAGGCTACGTTTCACATTACAGGCCTCAAATCCAATTTTTGGTCAAACCCGATCTCTCTGACACAATGGTTCACACTCGTTTAGGTAATTGATTCAAATCTGTCATTAATGTCAATGAATGGCATCCTGAAATGACCCGCATGACCACATCCTACTCAGTAACATCATGTGAATGAATCACGTGCATCATCAGCACAAACTAACGAGCAGAACGAGCTTCGCTGAGAAGATAATTAACTGATCAGCTCTCAGCTTCATTATTAGAGCGAGACGAAGGAGAAAAAAGTGAGATGTGTTGCTTTTCCACCGTTTACAGGCTTTAACTTCTGTTCAGCGCTGCTGCCATGGTAACGCTCAATGATGACGCAGTGGAAAAAAAGCACAAGAATTCTGATCTAAGTGTTCTCATTAAGGTCGCATGTCCACGAATCCGATATGTATCCGAGCTAGGACCACATATGAAAGTGACTCAGGTCAGATTTGAAAAGATCAGATTTGTGCGTCCACACAGCTCTGAAAACATCAGATCTGAGTCACATTAGGGCAAAAAATCAGATCTGTGCCACTTCAACCTGGTAATGTGACAAAGCCTAAGTGTTGTTGAAAGGAAAGGTGACGTAAGACAGTGGTAAACATGCTCCTGTCCAGACTTTTATGTGTTACCGGCCTCCATTTGACCAACTTCTTAAGAATTTAGGTTGGGGTGAATACTGACTCTTAATAATCAATAGAAAAAGTCTGGGTAACTGGAGGTGATGATTCCAGGTATAACTACAACATTTCATCGGTTCAGAACCATCCGTACCGGTTCTGTGGGTTTATTCCTCAATGTAGTATTTGAACATGAATGGGTTAAAAACATTTCGAAAGGCTACGTTTCCCCAAACATTAGTGTGGATTTAGTGTATTTATGCACATATTTGGAATAAAGTGTTTGTGTACCCTCTCCTGCTGCGTCCCCCAGGTATCGCTGACAAACACACTCTCTAACTCATGGTTAATGCTGTCGGTATAGCTGCTCACTCTACACACAGCTGGCTTTGAGGTGGTCAAGCTGGTCAAGGATGCTGGAGGTTCTTTAGTCTGAAACACACACACACACACACACACACACACATTCAGTACAACACAAGCAACGTGAATCTGACGTTTATATGAAATCCAACCCGATGATGCTTTGCTGTAATCTCTTCATCTCTCCATCTTCTTTTACTCCCAGAAACACACTAAAACACGCACCTGGACCTGGTTAAATAAGGAAACTGATTCCTGCTCGCTGTTATGGTAAATTCCCAGCACACTCCTCCGCAGCTGTGCACGCAGTTTAGCGATCTGAGAAAAGAAAAGAAAAAATTTTACCTTTTTTTCCAAATTTCTATTCTTAAATATGTTCTAAAATGGTTTAAATTCACAATATCAAGCATATCAAGTATATCATGGTATGAACAGCCAGAATTTGTTGGCCCACTCAAGTGGAGCGGCTGTTTGGGCTCATGTCTGCAATGTGTCATTTGTTGTAGTGAGTCAAATGAACAGGATTTAGTGTGATTAGCAGGATTTGCTGTCAGTGAATACAATTAGGACCTGATTCAACAGTGAAAGCACTACAGATCCAGACAAACTCCATCAATATGTTGCTATCAAACTGCTTTAGGCAGCCAGTATTATCATATAAGACACTCGTTGAAAATATCTGTGAATATATCAGTGGTGATCAATGTGGATTTGCCTGTGAAGCAGCAAAACACCACCACTGGAGCAAACAATATTAAAGCAAATCTTCAGCCAAAAATCAATGTGACACAATTTACCCCAAGCGTACTCAATCAGCCAAGACATGTTTGGTGTCTGAAGTTTGCTAGTGAAGTTAATGTAGCTAACAAGTGATGGAAACCTATGTACACAAACTCAGTATCGGGCAAACTGCATGCTTAAATCATCACACGCTGGCCTCAAACCACACGCAATCTCAAATAGACTTGCTGTGGTTTCTGACACTGTATGGCACCCAGCTAGAAACATGGACCGAAGTAGGTTTCAAAATGGCTACTACAGTTTTCAGCTCAGCAATGTACTTTAGTCTACTTCTATAAAGAAGAAAATTGTGACTATCATGTACATCATGGACCCACAAGGGACGAGTTTCTGCACATACTGCTGTAATTCTGTCTTATAGCTTTTGAACAGCATCTGGTTGGCTAGTGGAGCACAACAGGAAATAACATAACGTGTTTAAAGCAGTGACAGGTACTGAGAGGCTGATCAGAATCTTTATGTGGACAGAATGCAGAACTGCATTCTTTGTTATGAGGATAAACAGCACACAAAGTTGGTTCCTATGCCTAACCAAACCATTTAAAAGTGTGTGTGTGTGTGTGTGTGTGTGTGTGTGTGTGTGTGTGTGTGTGTGTGTATGTGTGTGTGAGAGAGACATACCTCTCCACGGTGATCAGCACTAGACCAGGATGCCGACCGCTTGTGTATCTTCAGCCCTTCTAAGTCGTCTGTCCAAAAGCCAGGGGTCTATGACACATAGCAGATTTATTATTTCTTATTTATATATACATATATACATATATATATATATATATATGGTGTTTCAGCCACACCCATTGCTAACAGGTGGATAAAATTAAGCACAAAGCCTTGCCGTCTCGACAGACAAACACTTTCCGTAGAATGAGTCGTACTGATGGGCTCAGTGACTTTAAACATGCCACTGTCATAGGATGCCACCTCTGCCACAAGTCAGTTTGTGAAATTTCTGCCCTGCTAGATCTGCCCCAGTCAACTGGAAGTGCTATTATTGTGAAATGGAAGCATCTAGAAGCAACAACAGCTCAGCCACTAAGTGGTAGACCATGCAAACTCACAGAGTGGGGCTGGCAAGTGCTGATGTGCTGAAAGAGTTCCAAACTGCCTCTGGAAGCAACACCAGCAAAAGAACTGCACTTTAGGAGTTTCACAAAACGTGTTTCCATGGCCGAGCAGCTACACACAAGCCTAAGATCAGAATGCACAATGCCGAACGTTGGATGGAGTGATGTAAAGCATGACACTACTGGAGTCTGGAGTAGTGGAATTGCATTCTGTGGAGTGATGAATCACGCTTCTCTATCTGGCAGTCTGATGGACAAGTCTGGGTTTGACGAATGCCCGGAGAACATCACCTGCCTGACTGCATTGTGCCAACTGTAAAGTTTGGTGGAGGAGGGATAATGATATGGGGTTGTTTTTCAGGGGTTGGCCTAGAACCCTGAACTTTCTGGTATCACTTTGAGGAAGAACCTTTTCTGTTCCAGCATGACTGACTGAGTCCTAGTGCACAAAGCAGCTCCAGAAAGGCATGACTGGGTGAGCTTAACCCCATCAAACACCTTTAGGATGAACTAGAATAGAGACTGTGAGCCAGGCCCTCGTGACCAACATCAGTGTCTGACCTCACAAATGCTTTTCTGGATGAATGGACAAAAATCTCCACAGACACTCTGCAAAATCTCGTAGAAAGCTTCCCAGAAGAGTGGAAGCTGTTATAGCTGCAAAGGGGGAACCAACTCCATATTAACGCCTACAGATTTAGAATGAGATTCATAAAAGCTCCTGTAGATGTAACGTGTAGGTGTCCCAATACATTTTCACATATATGCACAAATAGATTTCTACCATCCACCATAAGTGTCACTGCTATATAAATACACACATACCACACAAAACAACTCCTACAAAACAACAGCAAATGAATGGTGTTCTGGGTTATTCATCAGTTCCCCACTTTAACACACTGAGGGAAAAGCAGCTGGTTCCAGAGACACTGAAACAGAAAAGGGGAAGCTTAAAGACTGAATTCAGCCAGTTCTCCTTTACTCCCTTCTGTTAATGCCTTCCTGTTTACTGATGAAGCTGGAGTGTCTTGTTACAACCTGAACTTCCAGCTTGTTTTTCTGTGTGTGTACATTCTACAGCAGCTGTTGTGTCTGACAATACAGAAAGCTGTAGTTAGATAAGATAAAATCTCCCGCTGGAGGGTCTCACTCAGAGCCAATTAAAACCAGGCACAATACGAAGAGGATGAGAACTATTTGGTCAACAGTAAAGGCTGATTAGTACACTCTTGAAAAAGATGGTTCTTTAGTAAAGGGAATGGTTCTATATAGATCCAGGAGTTCTGTATGGAAGCATTTCATGCTTAAATGGTTTTGCAAGGTAAAATGATTCTTCAGACTGATAAAGAATGTGTTGTATGTGGTTCTATAGAGAGCCTTTTTTGAAAATGTCAACCTTGTAAGACTAGCAGAACCCTTTTTGGTGCTATATAGAATCATATAGAAACCAAGCTTCAAAACAAGTGGTATTAAAGCTTAGTTTCCATATATGGACTGTATGGAGTGAACTGTTTTCTATTATATGGGCCCTTTAAGTCCAAAGGGCTAATGTACAGAAGTAATATGACAATAGTGTTAATATTTCAAATCTTAAGAAGAGCCATTTTGTCCTTTCAACAAAAATCAAACCACCTTGGGAGCCACAATATTTTATGTCCGCTTTACCATCTTGGCTGTAAATATGACTCAGTATGTGCTGATGTTCTAGTAAAGGCTAAAAATATAATATAAATTAAAACACAGACTTATTTTGCTCTGCTTTAAGCTTTAGCTCAGCTACAGCCGCTTTTCTCGCATCTCCGGCAGGAAACTTTTCCTCAAAAGTAGAACAGTTTTTTTTTTAAATGTCTCGACGTTCGACTTTTTACGAGGCTGAAGTCAGCATCTCATTCATCAGCTTCTTGTTCAAATTGTCCCGTTCCACCTTAAATGGTGCCTGAGGCGCCAGAATGTAACTGCTGTGCCATTTAAGATGGAACGGGAAAATTCGAACAAGAAGTTCAACTTTAGACTGACTTCAGCTTCGTGATTTTTTTAGTGATTAGAAATTAAAGTCCATTCATCTCCCAATTATCAATGTTCGTCTTAAATCTCTCTCTTTGCCATTTTATTAGCTACTAGCTAGGCCAGACTGTTGTCTGCATTGCTATGGTGACCAGCAGTCTGCGTGCCAACCTTCAACGTTAAAGGGGAAATTTGCAGATATAAGCAACACACTGACTCCAGCATTTGAGACCATTTATTGTTTAAACCGTGTTAAACGATCAGCAGAGCTTTGTTTTACTGCAAAGGAGGATTATTTTATTTTTACCTAAAAGTCTAATTCTGCTGAGGAGCCACAACAGACAGTTAGAGAGCTGCATGCTGACCCCTGCTCTATACTAAGCGTGCAACTATTATAATACAAAAAAGGTCATTTCAAACAACGTATAGAAATGTATAACTGTATCGATACGCCCCTCTGTGTCTTCCAAAAGTCTCATTTTGTTTAAAGGTGGCACTGGAGACCCTTTATTTATCAGAGCCAAACCAATCTGTGCAGTTTATAGTACTTTTATAGGCCCATAACATAATCCACACCTCCAAAGTTCAGTCTTAGACGTTGGTTGCATTTTCTGTTTCTCACAATCAATAATCCCAAACACATTCAGTGATGTTGAGGTCTGGACTCTGGGGTGGTCAGTCGTTCTGAGAACACCAGCAGCTTCTTTTTTCTTCTTTATCATCTGTTTCCTTTTCTCAGTGAGGCTTCTTGACAGCTACGCATCCTTTCAGACCCATAGCGCTGAGTTCTCTCCTCACAGTGAAAGAAGGCTGTGGATGTTTTCAGATCTGAAGCAGCTTGATTTTCTCCTCTCTCTCAAAGATGAAACCTGTAAGTGCTGTTTATCTGATGGGGACAGTTCCGGTGTCTACCAGGTCCTATTTTCTCTGTATCTTTTAAATTGCAGTTTTGGAAGCTCTTGCTTTTCCTTTGACTTTCCTCTTCCTTATGCAAGTGAACTGTCTTCTAACTAATCTCCTTTGAAAAATCTCCACGTATTTACTTTTGATTCAATGGTGCAACCATTAACATCATTACACTCCCACCACATACTGTATATATTTTATCCTGGCATTCATTAAAAACCCAAGTCTTTCTACGGCCGCGACGCGCAGCAGATGGAGCGAAGAATGATGCAGACATTCCTGCTGCACTGAGTGCTTCGTGGCCTCTGCAGCCCAGAAGCCTGCATTAGCATATGTATAGCTCCCGCTGCGGCTAGCTTAGCACTGCACGCAAAGAGGCGGCCTGGAGGGCCAGGTGGCGAGGCTGTGTGTGCACCCGCTCGCCTGACTTAGTGTAAACACACCCACCCACCCACTCGCCCACGCTCATACACACATACACACACACACACACACACTGGTGCAAGAAAGACAGGTGCAAACGACGGCACCTCCACAGAGCTGCACTCATCAGTCAACTTTCTATGCCTGCAGCGGGTGACGAAACGTCTGGCTTTTGTTCTCCAGTTTCTTTAGGGGGAGAACAGGGGTTTCAGTACAATTAAACCAGCAAGCAGCCAGACAGGACATTACATACAGTGAGACGTAGAAAATCCAACATTAAACTCGGCCCGTCCAGAACAGATGGCTGCAGAAAAGAGGCCTAATACCAGCAGACTCGAACCTAACTGAATAACTTTCTATCAGGCTGATTTGCATTGCTGTCACCTGCTCTAAAACTTTATCTGAAGAGCGTTTCCTCATGTACACCAACAGCCAGTAAATATTTTCCAACATTTTACTGTGTGTGGCCCACAGATATACATACCAAGATTGGGTCCAGCCAGGCACGTCATTGGCGCCGCCATTTTGGGGCGGTCAACATCGCTGCTGGACTGTATTCAGTACCATTACAGAGTGACAGTTTAAGAAACATACTGTCCAAAATGATACTATTTCAAGAATATTGCTCTCAGAAAGTGGGATAGGATTATATAACAGAGGGAACACAGTGATCCATGCTCAGGTTTGTGTGATGTTTAAGTATAGATATGGTCGTGTGGTTGGTGAGGCACAGAGAACCTGTTGATGTGATTGTTTTTCCTCTGGTTTTATATTAAGCTTATTTTGTTAATTGTCTATTCTATTATTCTTAACTTTATGTAGTAGTTATTTATTTATTGATTATTTACAACGATGGTTAATGCTTTGTAGCTAGGTAAGTTATAGCATTCCTTAATCCGTGATTCATAATACATTAATGTTAGCACCTTTGTAAACGAAGCTGAAGTCAGATTCTTATTTGCCAGCTTCTTGTTCGAGTTTTCCTGCTCCACTTTAAATGGTGCATCTCTTTCTGTTGCCTGAAGCTGCACCATTTAAGGTGGAACAGGAAAACTCGAAAAAGAAGCTGGTGAATAGGAAGCCAACTTAAGCTTCGTCCTTCTTACTGTATTTTTATGTGTATTAACATTAGAAGTGATTCACACATTGATGGATTTGCTGATGTGTGTGAGTTTGTGTTTCTCGTGCTAAACTCGGTTTTTAACGTCAGGTGCAGACTGAATACTTTCCTCCTGGTCCGGACGGCTAATTAGCACGATCAGTTATTAAAGAAAGCTACCGAGAGCAGATCCGTGCAGCCCAGATTAATCCCTGTCTGAGGATTATAACAAAACAAATTTGGTGAAAATCAATTGAGTGTTAAGGAAGTTGTGGCCGATTTAATCCTGAGACTCATCATCTCTCAATACAAGTGAATTGGTTCACAAGTGGATCTTGACCGCTCCAACATGGCGGACGCGCAGACGTGTCGCCTCAGATAGAGAACAACAGCCAACGTGGCATCTAGGTATGTATACATGTATCTGGCCACCGTGCCAGCCGAATGGAAATCAAGTACACAATCAATCAAATGTAAACTTTTTCCCTCTAACTCTGTTATCAGATTATGTAGGACACTGTTGGCTACTGTGTGTGAAATAGGGAGGGCCATATGCAAAAACATCTCATCACGATACTTCAAGAAATTTTCATGATACACAATACGTATTACATAATTTGGACACACAGACACAATGCACTGTTAAAACGTTTAAAACCTTTGATTTTTACTCAACATTTCACACGCTACACTGGAGAAAACCCAATTAAACCGGACTATTTATGCTCTCTTTGGAATAAAACATGCAGCTGGACAGTCTTTTTTGACAGACGATGTCCACAAAAACGCATGCTCAGTATCATGATAAAATTTACAGCGATAATGCTAAACTATCATCATATTGCCCGTCTTTAGTGTGAAATGTTGTGTTGAGCTGTTGGGGAGCAAAGAAGAGTGAATGTGGTGGGGTGAGGCGCTGCGAAAACAAGTAAAACCTCTCCACAAAGAGCAAATCTGCAGCTTCCTCGATATTAACAAATCATGTGTAATAAAAAAAACAATAAAAACACTGTGTTTTGCATAATTTGGACAGTTAATCTTTGTGGTAAAATTTCATGATGAACGGACCAACAGAAATGGTCCAATATCACTTTGAAAAACATTTACTTTTTCTTTTAGTACAAGCTGATAACTTTCATTACAAGGAAGCTTTTTCCTTCTGTAAAATTACCATTTGGAGATACAAGGTTCTGCTCCAACAGTGGTCTTGCCCACCTTCGAAGACGAAAAATCTAGTTCACTTCTGATTTCGTAAATCACACATCAATGTTATTTAAAAACAAAACGCATAATTAAACTGAGGGACTTCCAAAATTGCAGAAATGACATTTTATGGCTAGTGTGAAAAAGGGTTAAAATAATAACTTGGAGTTTAATCTCAATCAGCATTTTCATGTTTGGTGTCCGAAGTTTGCTTCTTTAGTTTTGTGATGGAGTACAAGGCTAAAAGCTAGTAAGCAAATTCTGCTTTTAACCCACCAATCAGCTTTCTGCTGACTAGGCCTGTAATGATCATGAAACTTCAGCTGACGATTCATTGTTACACAAATAACTGCAATTAACGATTAAATTGTCTGTTTTGCTCATGTTGCACCCTAAAGCAGCTAGACTGGCTTATTAGCTATCTTGCTTAGCTAGTTCTTTACGTTACAGCTAACAAGAAAGATACACTGCACTGTGCTGTGTGTGAAAACTGCCTACAGTTACAGTCAAACAAAGCTCTCACTTTTCTCTTGAGACTGAAAATGTGAGTGAAGAACATACAGGCTACAATTAGCATTAGCTATTCCAGTTATTTCCCAAAACTAGAAACTAGAAAAGTGATTTATTTTATTTATGTTTGTTTGGCTCAAGCCAACTAATTAAAACGCATCTGGCTCACATTATGCTTGTTGAAATACAATAAAATACGATTGTAAATTCTAATAACTATGGAAAATAACTGCAGTCGGGTTAAATCATTGCAATTGTCTCAAATAATTGTGATCAGGCAATTACGTATTAAACGTGACAGGCCTAATGTTAACAGTGGTGCTATGTTATCACACAGTTAAACTGCTGTGAGTGGTCATTTGCACAGTAATATAAGCTTCCATTGTTTCTTAGCTACATTAGTCTCGTAGTTCCAGTGCAAAACTAAAGAAGCAAATTATAAACATTAGTTTTGGCTACATTTGGGGAAATTCACACTTTAAAAAAATGGTTCTTCAAGGGATCTTCGGAAAAGACAATAGAACCTTGAGTTCTATATAGAAGCATTTCATGCTTAAACGGCTTTTGTAATGGTGAATATACAGAATATTTTTAATACAGAACCATTTACAACACATTCTCCTTCAGTCTGAAGAACCATTTCACCATGCAAAGCGTACAATGCTTCTACGTAGAACTCATGGTTCTAAAAAGCATTCAATTACTAAAGAACACTTGAAGAACCATCTTTTGTAAGTGTGTACTTCAGATGTTTTGCCAGACTGTTATATTAACAGTGAGGTCTATAGTGCAGCGCGAGGGCAGAAAGGTTGGCCATGTGTCTCACCTGTGTGGCTTTATCGGTCATGCAGGTGCGCTGGGCCTGATGAACCTCTCGCGGCCACTGACCACACAGGTACTGCCCAGTTATTAGGTCCATTGAAGAACTCTGCGGTGGTGGTCCTGCTGGCACAAGCACAAACACAAAAGTCACACAAAATCCACGTTAAAGCTGCACAATATAGACAAGTCATTTCAATATGGCTTGTGATATATTAATAAACGCACTGGGGAATCAATACTGTGACATTAACTGTGTAACTGGTCTGCATTATTACATGTTTTGTTGATTGTCTCATCCTCTACAGAGAACACACTTAAATATGGCATTTTTCTGCAAACTCCAAGTACATTTCGAGTTGAACATATTGGAAAAAATAAAACCAAAATATAAAATGTGCCATAATATCTTTCCAAGATATTAAATTCTATATAAATTATGCTCTAAATTGTGTCTGTGGAGGATGTGTGGACTTATTTTCATTTAATTGAACAAAACCTAAGCATTAAGGGTGCCAAAACTTTTGCATACAGCTGTACCTTGATTCATCAGGACAAAGATACATCTACACACTGCAAATATATCATATCCTTGCAAGTGAGATGATCTTAAGTCGTCATATCTAATATTTCTCATTTTGCGATTATTATAAGAATATAACATGTATTCACTTTATATTTGTTTAAATCCTATAAATAGAACATTGAGTGCACTATTTATCCTTGAATCACTTCTTGTTTTGCAAAAACACTTGATATATTGAATATGACATCTAAAAGTAGCTAATGTCTAGTTTAATGTATTTAAATTTACACTGTTTTCGTTGGCATTATAAATTACACGTTACACAAATTATTAGTTAAACTTTTGGACACTGTGTCATATTTCTAACAGTGCATAGTAGTACGTCACTAGTATATAGTGACAATTTCTCTAAAATAACTTCAAACAGGTAACAAAATCTGTGAATAATTTTAAAAACAGTGCAATATTCTTACTAAAATCTATAATGACACAGATTTAAGGTTATTTTACTCAGCAAAACATCATTCAAGCAGAAACATTCCTCTGGAACTGTGACTGGTCAGGGATGGTCACGGCACACAGTAAAAACACAGCGATTAATTAAAAAGCTCCGAAAAACCAAAATCATAATAACTAACTAACTAATGATATATTGTGCAACCCAAGCACACAGCATCACGTTACTGTGGTTGTGAGGACCACACGATGAAATCAAAAGCACAAATACCAGACATGCACCCCTGCCCACACAAGCACACAGAAACTGAATGTAGATATAATTGATTAAACTGAATGAGGGTAAAGAAAAGTAGGACAAGACTGACAAGACAGAAAACAGCAGACATTTAAACAGCGCACTATTGCTCAGAAACACGAAATGGAGCTTTAGAGAACAGTCCAAACCATCTACATCCAGGATCCACATCCAGGATCCACACAGCCAATACACTCTAGAAACAGTTCAAACCACTGGGGTCTTACTCAGGACACAGCAGATTCTTACATGCCGAGTAGAACATTTTCCAAATTAGAAGTGTAGTTCCTCAGGGGCGTATACTAGGCCCACTTTCATTCAGCCTATCAGTGAATATGGGGTCAATGTGCTACATAGTTATACAGTGACTGAGCTATATGACAATATCTATGAGTCAGTCAACACTTCCCAATTTTGTGTCTGATTACAAAGAGAATTCAGTTTTTTTATATATGTGTATATATACACATGTATTGTGACATCATGTATCGCTGCTATATCACCCACCTCATAAAAAAGAAAGGGAACAAAGATTCACTTTGCAAAAAAATGAAAAATGGAAATTTAGCTCCGCTGTATTGATTGTAATTTTATAATAATAATGGTAATACTCTTGTATGTTATACTTTATTGTATATACATTATGCAATAAACAATATCTGTATTATTATTATTATTATTATGTTAAAATACACTATAAAAACAACAATCAAAATATAAAAAGTGTATTATAAATATTACCATGACATCTCTTTTTCCATAATACATAATGCTGGACACAATAAGCAGTGCGCAGATTAAAATGACAACAAAACTGCGAAACTATAAAAACGATGAAGCCCAAATTACCTCAGTTACCCCTCCGAGGCCCGGTCTGACAGGATGGTCTGGCTGAAAGTAGGCAGGTTGTGGTGTACAGCAGGGCCTGAGACGTGCTTAAGAACCCAGGAGGAAATGAAGCAGACTGAAACTGCTCTCAGAAGACTTTTAACACTCATACAAACCCACACGAGCGGCCTGACAGGCGCCTACAGCCGAAACTGAATCAAGTGCACGCCGTCCCACTCGCAGCACGCGTCCACAACACAGAGCAGCTGAGTGCCAGAGCGGGGTCAGCCGCACACAACAACATGGTGGGTGGTGCACCAGCACCAAATGACAATACATGACCATATCTGCACAGCAGATCAACAGTTAAAGATCCACTTTGACGAAAAAAAGACACACCACATTTTGTAAAATGTAACAAAAACAGGAATCTGTGATTTTTTAATTCTCTTGAACCTTTAATTAACTGATAAAAGTGAAAGAAATGACTTTTAATGTTTTGGCTGACCAACTTGATTGCATTTTGTAGGCCTGAACAAAATTTGAATTTGATGCTTGCAACACTCTCAAAAAAGCAAAATAGGAGTGAAAAGTTTACAGACTATTCAAGTTACCCTGTTTTGAAACATTCCACAATAAGCAGGTTTAATTGGGCCCCATCCCATTTCACCCCTCACCCCTACCACTTAGCCCTTACCCCTCTGTTTTGCACATTCACTCCTAGGGGTAAGGTGTCCCGATTTTTCTTGAGACAGAGGGGTAGGGCGAAGTGTTAGGGCTACATGGCCTTCCAAATGGAGATTTTCAGAGGGACACTCCAAACAGAAAAAACGCTGCTCAAGTGACCAAAGAAACCCACAAATGTGAATATTTTCTCCGTTAAAAATTACGATAATCATTGTATTATCTTAGTTTGATGTCGTTTCAGTGTATTATGGTCCTTTTCTTCATAACAAGCATAAAAATCGTTAACAGTATGCTTTGCAGCTAACTAGCTATAATACGAACAAGAAGCTGGCGAATAGCTGACTTCAGTTTCATATCACTGAAGATCTTTGAAAGCATATGATGCCCTAAATGTAGCCCAGCAGTGAGGTTGCTGAAAATTTTAAAATCGAGTTTTTATCTTAAATACAGTCAAGAAAACAGACGTGTTTAGTGTCTGAAGTTTACATCTTTGGTTTTGTTAATGCTAATGAACAAAATCCAGCTCCAAGCTTCAGGATGGCAGCTAGTACTGTTTGCAGCTATGCTGCCTACTTTTTGTTCATTTCATAGACGACATTTTACTTTACATAAGACAGGCAGAACCAAGTCATGGCAGACATCATGCAGTCATGAGTTCTCATGACACGGTCATAATGTTTGAGGTCACGACGGCTGACTACAGTAAATAGCAACAATTTTGTTACATATAGTTGTAAGCAGAGGTTTTGGCACCCCTGGCCAAATGACGTTCTGCTGATGTGGAAATAAGTGGAAAACGGTAACACAACCTCTACAGAGAACACACTTCTGCAGACCTTAGTGCACAGATACTGTGCATTATATTTGCATGTTAGAATGTAACATACTGGGGGGGAATGAAACAGAAAAGTGGCCTGTGCAAAAGCTAGGGCACATTTACAGAAAAAAATGGCATATTTAGGTGTGTTACACTGGATGCACGTTTTTATGGTGTCACGAAAACCAACATATCCACATATACCAGCCTCTAGCAGTTTAGCTTCTGCCATTCAGACCGAAGTTATAAGGAGTGATTCAGCCTGGACTGTTTTTGAACGAAGCACAACATCATTTTGAGCAGGAGTGCTCAAACTTTTACATATGACTGTAGATGGATGGATGGATGGATGGATGATGGGTCGAATGACATTTTGTTGATTTTCTAAGTGAGAATAAGCTAACACATCCTGTACGGAGAACACGTTTGCAAATTTTAATACAATTTTCTATTTTTTAAATTAACTTTTTTTTTACATATTGGAATAAAATTGGAATAAAATAATAACTTTAGCACAGACCACATTTATAGCTTATTTTTTCCCCAGTATATTAAATATTAACAGCTAATAAACAGCAAGTGTGCATTAAAAAGTGCAGAACTGTGTTCTCTGTAAGAGGATGTGTTCACTCACTTTCACTTACAAACTCAACTGAACGTTGGGGCGCCCAAACTTCTGACTGTAAGCTGTCATGACATTAAACATTATGACAAGTCACCAGTTACGGTAACATGACACTGTTACATTACTGAACAAAATCTGTCACGACAAACTATGACAGCATATGACATCTGCTATAACATGTTTATAACACAGTTATGTCAGTGTTATAAAGCAGGATTTAGTATGTCATACAGTGTCAGGAAGTAAGTCATGGTAAGTCATGCAGTTTGCACAATTAGTGAGCTCCAGGGTTGGATTATTAACTACACAAGCCTGGCAGCACCAGTGCAAACCTAAAGAAGCAAACGTTAGACACCAAACGTGTTTTGGCTGACGGATTACATGGGGGGTAACTGTGTAAATCTGATTTTTTTGACAGATTATTCCTTTAGCAGTCTGGTCGCTGTGCAGTTTGGAGGACATAGGTAGACTGAGTGAGAGAACAGCAGGGCCTCTCTGTATTGTAGACACCTTTCAGAATGAGTCGCTCTGAGCTCCGCTGCATTCACTTGCAGATTGTTATGCGGGCAGCTGCAGGGCCTTTGTGCTGCAGAACTGTTTCAAATGCAAATCGCCACCAGCGTCTGACACTCGACACCGAGCAGACAGGAGAAAACCGGCCTAGTAAGAACCCGTCCGTTTCAGGTGGATAAAATACATGAGGTGGAACATCATATTAGTGCACGGAGCTTGAACATGCACATGTATCCTAAAACCTTCAAAGCAGGGCTGCACTATACGGACAAAACACTAGCACTGCGATTATATCGCTACATACTTGCTGTTGTGATTCGCCTTGCAAAATACCAGCTGTGTGGTAACAAAGAAAGCTCTAACTTTCCCGAACTTC